ATCTATTGCCAAGAGGGTGTCCAGCTTGCGTCGGTGGTAGGTGATCGTCACAGCATTGTCCGACCAGTCCGGCGGTTTTGCTTGAGCAGGACCCACCGACTTGGTGTCCACCGGCTAGGACTTAGCGGTCTTGGGATGTTTTGGTGTCGGGGACCATAAATTTCCAGATTGCGTCTTTGGCCGTTAATTTGACTCCTTCGATGGTCCTGAGGTGTCGGGAACTATCGACTTGGTGTCCATCGGCGCTTTCATCCTGATTTTAATCGGCTTGGACTTAGCGATCAGGGTGGTTTGTTGTCTCGTGGACCATAATTTTTGGTTTCCACCGTCTTTATGGTCCACTGGGGCATGATAGGTATCATGACCCAAGACGTCATCAACGAGGACATAGGGAGGGTGTTTTTGTTTTTTTATAAAAATTTCAACCTTGAACATCTTGCCCGGACCCCTCCCAATGTCCGGTCGGTCCTTCGACTCTTTGTTTTTGTCTTCTTGTGTCACTGGCGGTAGGTACTACAGTGGTTCTTCGGTCTTCTGTTCTGTCGTGACCTCGACGTCTTCTCATCTTATGACTCGCGGTAAAAACCCGCGTCTTCCGAAGATCCGGGTGCGCGCACCATTTTTGTGATGTGGGCATTTCTATACTGTTTGACGAGACCCCAAACCACTCACTGTGCTTGACTGCCGACAGTCGGAGGTGGTACCCTGATGCCGCTTGTGGACCTTGACTCACCTTGTGTACCCATCGGCTTGGCGGGTTTCACTCTTTGGAGGACTCGATGATCATGCAGACGTCGGCCGTGATGGAGGTAGACCTGAGGGGGCCCCGAGCGGATATGCTTCAGTCGGGGTCCAATGTAGGCAGCCACTCGATCGACTTGGTCGAGAGTGGTCTAATAAGGAGTTGTCTCAGGTGCTGGTGGCGCCTGGCCTTTACTTGTCTCAGGGGTGTTTACTGCCTGGCCTTTACGTGTCTTCTCCCTTAACACTAGGGTATGGAGGCCGCTAAATATACAAGATTGAGTGTGTGTGTGTGCTACTCTACGAATCCACAGGCCGATATACTTCCTGGGGTTCTACTTACGCTTGTGTCTTGCTGACAACTGTAGAATCGACGGGTGGGACAAATAGACCCCTGGCCCGGAACAGGTCGGTAGACTTACAAGTTTCTTAGCGCACGACACGTCGTGCTACTTGGATCGCAAATTGGGTAGTAATTAATGTTATCCTATTCTTTAAACTCCTTTACTCTATCCTTGCCTTGCACCTGGGTTCGCTGTCATGAGTGGCCAGTTGCCACCGGACCTTGAGAGGCCAAGTCGACCTATGGGTGATTAGGCCGGCCGATGGGTGGCCAGGTCCACCATGAGCGAGTAGTTGAGAATGATCCATATCGGTACCGTTTAACTAGTACCGTTGGTAGGTTTGACCCCGTTGGCAGTAACCTTAACCGCTCGTCACGGTTGGATACAACGGCCGCTTCTTACATGTGACCCCAAGTCTCCAGTCCGTTTCCCGGCCGCAAGGTTCCATGTCCGTCCGGCTCGTCGACCCTTAAGTCGATCATTTTCGAGTACTTGCTTCACCACAAAATCATCTACACCATAGAAGGAAAGCAGTATTATGATGGCTTCATCATACTGAATTTGGATGACCATTTTGATGTCATCCTCAGTCTGTCATGGCTTAGTAAATACGAGTCATGATTAGCTGGCAGCATCGATACGTGAAGATGCCTGCCGTTTGTTCATCGGATGGCCATATGTCATATGTCTTGGAGCGTCCTCAAGCGCGTGGATGTACTATGAGTGAGTGAGATGGCCTCTCTTGTGGTATGGTCGTTAGTACGACTGCACAATATCACAGTGTAGAATGCCACTACACCATGGAACCAGTTTTCGGCACCTGTGAAGAGACACAGGCTTCGCCGAAGGTTCACCAGTCAAAGAGATCGAGTGGATTGGAACGTGTATGCACACCAAGAAGGGTGCATTTAAGGGGAGGAATTAGTGTTGTAATGAATGAACAACACGTTAAAGCGCGATTGACTAACAGAGAGTCGAACGAAGAAGATGTGACCGTGATAGTACACGTAACGGAAGAAAAATCCAGCGTTCCTGAGAGCAATAACCCCCGAAAGAGATATGTAGAGGGTGTGGATCCCCAACCACCTGCGGATGTGTTTTTTCCCATGAAATCACCGAGACAGTGAATGTCTTTATGAACGACGGATCAAGTGTAGCGCTTATACACTTGATCTGGTTGCACCTCCGAGTTTAGCTTCAGAGGTGGTCAAGTTGTCCAAGCTAGAATCTAAAGATTTTTGCGAGATCTGCGTAGTGACAAGATCAAGCAGATCTGCGTACTCGTCACAGAGGACGAGTACGTCGCTGATATTCGGTCGGCACAAGTGTTGCTGAAAACGAACGGGCTCTCAGTAGCTCATCTATGGACGATAGGGTCCTCGATGATCTACTGACCCGGATTGAGTGATACACGTCTTAATCTTGGTAGTCTTTGAAGACAAATCCTTTAAGTGAGGATTTGGTTGAATTCAGTTTTTTTTCCTGAATCCGTGCCATGAGAGCTGCCCAAGGACAAAGGCACTCATCATGAGATCTAACTGAAACCTGGTTTGAAATACTGTGTCATAAAGCAGTGGACACTGCCTCGTGAACAGGTCACAGCGATCGACAAATTTGTTGCCGATTGTTTAGCGGCTGATCATGTGAGGGAATCAACATCCCCACACAGCTCTCCGACCTTCTGTGTGCGAAAGTCCACGGGAGGATGGCGGATGGTGCCTGCGTTCAACAAACTGAACGCTGCAACGGAACGGCTCAAACGCCGATCCCAAGGAAGGATGTCATCATAGATAGTATGGCAAAAATAACCATCTTTTCGTCCATGGAACGGATGGATAGATTCTATCAGATCCTCATGCGTGAACGGGGTATCCCTTACACAGCAGTGAGAAACTGCAGTGGTATGCTCTGGGAGTGGCTAGTGATGCCACAGGGGCTAAGTAAAGTCCCCGCAACGTTTAACAGATGTGTTACGAGTCTGTTGCGATCGGTGCGCGATTTCGCACCGAGTTAATTCGACGATGTCTTCGTCCGTAGCCGGGCAAGGGATGGAAAGACGGACGTGAATGTTAATAGAATCCACGTACGGAAGGTTCTTACATTAATGCAAGAGCAGAAGTTGTTCGCGAACCTCAAGAAGTGTATATTCGCAGCAAACAAAATACCACTTCTTGGCCCCATTGTGGGTAAAAACGGTGTACGCCCTGATCCGGAAAAGATGTAGGCGATTAGCGACTGGCCTCTGCCAGTCGACGTCAAGGGATTTCGAAAGTTCCTTGGCTTGGCGGCGTACTTGCACAAATATTCGCGCAACTTTGCCGAGATGACCGTCTATCTCTCTCGTCTACGAAAGAAAACAAGAGGTGTTCATGGAGCGCTGAGTGTCAGCACTCTTTTGAAGGCACCAAAAAAAGCTTGTTGCAATCGCCTGTGTTGGCAATTGCAGACCAGGATAAACCATTTCATGCGGTCTGCGACGCCAAGGATTTTGCAATCGGCTGCGCGTTAACGCAGTACGACTCAGACGACGTTGAGCGCATCATCTGTTATCAATCGCGTCAGCTGCAAGCAGCTGAGCGAAATTACCCGGTGCATGACAAGGAACTCCTTGCCATGAAATATGCACTGGCTAAGTTTCGGGTATGTTTCTTAGGAAATAGGCCTATCATCATTTCTACGTACCATGCGACGTTACACACGGCCGTAAACAGTCCACACCTCTAGCAACGAATGGCGAGGTGGCTGTCTTTTTTCGCGTAGTACAACTTCTCCGTCGAGTATAAACCAGGACGACTTAATGTCGTCGCTGTTTATCTTACGTGTCGGCCCAATTTGGAGTCGACTGCTCCACCCAACTGTAGGGGCAATCCCACTGTTGCAACACTAACAGTGAGAGTTCCTTCGTCGAATCTGCTCGACGACATGCGAAGAGCATACGCAGAAGATGAGTGTCTTCTGCGATTAGTGGATTACGTATCCGATCCGTGAAGTCAAGCTTTGAAAAGCTTGTCGTCTCAATATCGCTCTTCAACCGAACGTTGTTTCAGTTTGAAATGGACTGCTGTACTGTACAGCATTCAACGGCAACACACCTAGTGTCGTTGTTCCAGATAATGATGATTTGCGATTGCGCGTCATGTATGAGTGTCAAGATGCCTCGACAAGTGGGCATCGCGGTAGCGGGAATACTTACCTCATGGTGAGTCGTGACTTCTACTGGCCCCGTCATTATGAGTTTGTGAGGAAATACATTCGCGCTTGCGAAGTTTGTTAACGGGTGAAGCCTAGTCCTTCATCTCGCGCACCCTTGCAGCCTCTTCCGATTCCGGCAGTGCGTTGGCAGTCCGTATCGATGTACTTTGTCTTCGGGTTTCCCGAAGAAGTTCATTAGAATACATGTATTCTTGTGTTTGTTGATCGGTTCAGCAAGATGGTACATCTTGTTGCTGTGCCGGAGTCAATTACAGCCCAGGGCTGTGAGCGTGTTTTCATCGATACTATCTTCCGACTTCACGGGTTACCCCGTGAACTTGTGTCCGATAGGGACCCCTACTTTACGGCGGAGCTCTGGTAATTCGTTTTCCGTTCACTTGGAAGACGTTTGATGTTGTCTACTTCTGACCATCCAGAAACAGATTGTCAGACGGAATGCGTCAACCGCGCCCTCGAAGAGATACTTCGAGGGTCTTTCCACTCGTTTACGAGTTGAAGTGATATCTTGCCGATGGCGGAATTCGCCATTAACAACTCGGTGCACGCGTCGACAACGCATAAACCGTTCTTCGTGAATGGCCTACGCCATCCACGTTTACCCGCCTTCTTAGAGTGTGACTCTAGTCTAAGGGGTGGTGGACTCGCTCGAACAAAAATCTATCTTGTTCTTGCTCATCACCCGTCGACAATGGTGTCGACGTGATGGATGCCGATGTCGATGCGATCGATGTTGATGTTTATGAAGACTACGATGCTGGTATATTCATCATCACCAATGAATGCCAAATTGAGGACGATGACACCCTCACTGGTGAAGACAACGTTCGTTCAGCGGTGCGCACGAAGCGCACTGCTGTTAACAAGGATGAGTCGGCAGAGGAATTTCTGCTGACTCGCGAAGCGGTTGTCCGCTTTGTTCAAGACCATATTGCATATGCACTAGACAAACAGAAGAGAAACGCGGAAAAAAACCCGGAAGAGCAAAAAAACTTTTATTCGATGTAAGAGAACTAGTTTACCGTCTACAGTAAACCTACCGAAATACGCAGTGACAAACGTGGGCAGCAGTAAATTACTGCCTAGGTACATCGGTCATTTCTTGTGTTGCGCCGAATGAGCAACGCATATACGATTAAACTGCCTCGTATGATGCGCACGCATCCTACGTTTTATGTCGGTCGTCTCCGCCCGTTGTATCAGTGCGAGCCCGTTTCGAGATGCGAAGAACACCTCCGCGGTCGAGAGCCGAGACCACCCTCGAGTGGTCCCGTTTCAACGAGCCGTTATGGTCTACTAGCGAAGCGACCTGTTCACGCAGTTCAGCAATGTCTCGTCGAGCTACAGCCAGCTCGTCACGAGTAGAACGAGTCGAACGTTCGTTCTCAAGTTGTGCGAACGCAACAGCGGCTCGATCGTCCGAACGATCGTGCGTTAGGTAATTGTAATTATCTCTTACAATATCCTCAAGCTCATATCGCCGAGTCCGTTCGTGAGCCAGGTCATCTTGCAACTGTTTCGTTACACGGTTTATCTCTTGAGAATCAAGCTGATCCGACCCTCGAGCCGGATCAGGTGTTCCCACCGCCACTATATCCTTTGGTGGAATCAGGCGGTGGTCAACACTTCCTAGTGGAGCGTATTTTGAACCATCGCGATGTACATGGCGTCCAGACGAGATATCTCGTCCGCTGGCGTGGCCATCCACCGGCGTGGGACAGCTGGGAGCCTCGTGCCCAGCTGATTGATGATGTCCTTGGTCTCGTCGAGCAGTACGACGAGACCCACCCGTTGCGTTCGAAGAAGGGCCGTCTGAAAACGACCTCCCCGAACGCGAGTACAGGGATTGCAAGGTGTCAATCCCTTCGGCCATATCGGAAGAGATGCGCGCCCTCCAGTAGAGATCATTAGGGAGGTAGGCCTCCCTAGGGGCACGTTTCGAGCTGTCCAGGCAACGTGGGCACGAATCACCCACGAGAGACAGGGTAATCCCTCCTCTCTTTAAAGCCGGTGCAACTTGTATCGCGCCCCGGCTGGGCTACATTTCTCAAACCTGATGCGAGCTGATCAAGTTTGGCGAGCAAAGCCTCACGGCCTATGCACTCGATGTTGTGGATGAGGGCATTCCATCCTTGTACCAAGGCTTGCCGTCTTGAACACGGCTACCATTGTACCACCGATGTTTGAAGAACGCATCGGTGAAAAACTCTTCCTCAGCACGGATAGTTTTCGTGCTGGAATCAGGTAGGCAAATCTTCCTGCAATCGAAAAACAGGATTCGATCCCGTTCGGTAGTCATGCCGGCCAACCGGTCCAGCTTTCTGGATGGCGGTATCCACGGAGACTCCACTTTAGGAGCGTGGCGCAGGACATTTCGGTCCCTGGCCTCTTGATTGGTGCCAGCATGAGCACTGGCACCAGTGTTACCCCGATCCCTTGACTTACTTCGCTCGTGGTGATGCGTTGGCGCATCACCACCATCCCCAAGCGTCCTTTCATTGGATGGACTTACGTGGGGCGGAAAATAATCGGAATAATCACTCGATCCGAAGATCTCGGACATGAAACCGCCGCGCTGACCAGAGCCAGTCAGCCTGGCTCTTGCAGTGTCCGCGCCCGGGTGATCCAGTGGCGTGAGGAGTCGCCTTCGAGTCGGATGCGTCATCCGACTCGCCAGAATAGATGAGATCTATCTCAGACTCGTCTTGATTACGACCCGAGGTACCCGCTGCAGACGCAACGGATGTACCTGTCGCACGTGGTGACTCACCACGTGGAGGATTCACGACAACAAGCAACGAATCGCCTGCTGCTGAGGCGTGAGAGGCGCTTTCCGTGGCTGCAGGCATGCGTGCAGCCGCCCTTCTTGCTGCTGCAGTAGCAGCTCGCGTGCTTTTCGAATTATGCGCTGGATTAGCAAATGAATGGAATTTGACCAACAAGTGCTTCCTTTCCCAGAGTGATCCAACGGTGGTCACCCTGTCACAATCGAATATAATTCAATTAACGGGTGATTGATGGTTAAAGGGGGGGATGTAACGGGTAGCCCGTTACATGAAATTGACACCAAACGGTGTCAATAGGAATATTGCCTAGCGTGACAATATTCTACCAATTTTATCCGAGATGGATAATATTGAAGGATTATTTTCCCCTTAAGATAATATTTACTCGCTGCTTCAAGATTAGTTGATGTGAGACATATCGACCATAGATTGCCACCAATCGCGCTAGACGCGCGCAATGAGCGGTGAGCAGTTTGTCGTCATTCGACGACGTAGTTTAATGTAGTTAGATAAAGATTTAGTTATTATTGATAGCTTAAACGATATCAAATACAGTTCTCTTTTTACCTTTTCTCAACGTAGCTGTTGAGTAGATAAGCTTCCTCTACACGTACTAGTGTACGTGAAGTTTCGTGGCAACCTAAACAAAGGGTGACCCGTTACAGTTATGCTGCACTTGATGACCACAATGAGACCCTTGCGCCTCTTAAGATAACAAGCTTTTAAGTAATGCCAGCTTTTGATTTCATGCACCGTTTTCTCAAGTAACTAGTTAGCTGAGCTACTTCGAGTCAAGGGTTTCGGCAATCGTCGTTCGCACAAAGTAGTTTACAAGTGGTCATAGGGCCTAATTATGGTGGCCCCTGAGTGAAATGAGGTGTAGGCCTTTCGTCAGCCTCAGTGCAAACAAGGCATTACCTTGTTCCGGCTCGTATTCGAACAATCTGTTCTTTACCTCACTGTCTTTGCGTAGGGCCGCCTCAGCTCACGGGCTGGTAAACAATAAGGGCGGTGCGGTAACAGATCGGGGCGGAGCAGTGGTTAAACCACGACTGTTCTGACCGGGAGGCCCGAGTTTAAGCCCTGGCGAATGCAGCGCACCCGCCTAGGTAATATCTTAACTCACCACCGACTGGTCCCAAAGGGGATGCAGCCGGTAGATAAGGTGAAGCAAGTGTGCAAAAGGGACGCCACCGAGTCGCAAATCCTGTAAATTACTGATAGCAGGTATCTGGGCAGTTGAGGAACTACACGTGAAACTTCCAGGGTAGAATTGAACCTACTCAGCTCACGCGTTGAAAAGGAGCGTAAACCATTTGTTTCAGTTCCAAGCACTAATTTATGCATTTGTTCCTTCTTTAGTCTAGTGCCTTACTCATCATCATCAACACACGCAACGGGAACCCCGACGTAGTTCAGGCCCTTTGATTGCAACAGCCAAGCAGTTTTCGAACAAATGATCACACCCGCATCATGATTCACAATCGACCGCAAGCAAACAGTTCTCGTCCCATCGCTTTTTGTAGTAAGCAGCAATGCGACGACCGTCGTCTCGCAAAGTTCTCCATTCATCCAGCTCCTCAGAAGTCAGTCCGGGCAGCAAATCCGTGGTCATGTAGTAGTCATTTTCAGTGTCGTGCAGCATCATCATCTCGCCGGATTCGTCGTATCGGAGACGCTGATGACCACGTACTATCGCCATCTTGCGCAAAGGGTCGTTGCTATACACCGCGCGTTCGCCGTAAGGAGTCTTGCGTTTTAGGGAACGCCCGACGCCAGTTTGCTCCAATCCTCCTTCTGGTAATCCTGTGATGTCGGCAAGCGTGTTGAGAATGTCGTAATGCTCTGCAGCATCTTCGATCACAGTCCCCACAGCATCACCAAGTCTACCTTCGGCAATGATAGCAGCTGGCACACGCGTTATCGACTCTTCCATTATATTACCAAAGTCATTCTCAGGCGCCTGACCGTGGTCCCCCAGGATGACTACAATAGTGTCGTTCAGTACACCTTCCATCTCCATGCGCTCCATGAATATTCCCAATTCCACATCGGTGAAGTACCTCACCTTCATGTACCTCTCGATTATATCAGCGTTCTTCTCTCCTTTGTACAACTCGGTAAAATCGGGCTTGTCGGTATCTTCATACCATTTCGGCCACGACTTGTACGGTTCGTGACTCGAGATAGTGTAGTGCGTCAAAAACAAAGGCTTCTTTGGCTTTCCTCCTGCTGTTTTCTCTCTCTGTTCTCTATGCTTCTGAACAAGCAAGTCTCCCAGGAGTTGAAAACTCAGGTCGTCATGCACACCCCAATTGAAGGCTCGATGTTCCTCACCGTACCAGTGACCACGACGAATACCGAGCTTCTTTTCCGCCTGCACTTTCATGTCAGTGACGTTCCACACGGTGTCAAAGCCATGACTCGGAAGAAAGGTGTACCAATTATCCAGGGTGATGGAAGATCCTGTGGTGAAGAATGTCTCGTATCCTTTCTCGGCAAATAGCTGCGGCACACCCGAAAGCGTTGTTGTCAACCTTCCTCCACTGACGGCAGTCTTCACAGTGCTTTGGTAAGGAACTTGGGCAAACAGTATGCTCTCCAAGGAGCGACTAGTGGGATAACTCGACCAAAAATTGCGTAGAGCCACACCGCGTCTTGCCCATTTGTCAAAGTTCGGAGTTATCGTCATGTTGGTGCCTCGGAACAAATCCGACGGGTCCTCTTCTCCCACCAGGTAGCGCGAATCGCGGAACCGAAACGACTCGACGCTGATGATCAGCACATTTGGCGGGTTGGCGGGGTCGGCACTGACGTTGAACACGAGGTCCCCTTCGAAGCCTGAGGTGCGTCGGTACAGCGTGTTGTTTCCAAAAAGCTCATGCAACTCCGAAGCATGTATGTATTTCTCGGTCCACGAGTGGTTTCCATCCACATTTGCAGGCTCCACATATGTGAGGGAAGGTTGGAATGCGTGAACAAACATCTCGTTCAGAGTCGTGTTGATCGCTGCATACGCGATCAGAGAAGAGCACGAACTACAAAGTGCCATCACCATCAATGTCAGGACCACGAGCCCCCCTACAACGGCAGACGCTTGCAAAACACGGTGATACTTGGACCGTCGTTGCATCTCCTTGTCACTCGATGGTGATCCTGTGTCGATAGTCTCAGCGACAGCAGGTCCATCCGTACTTCCTTCCTCCAAACCCACCGCTTCATACTTCACGCCTCCTGCCGCTTTCTCTGCTGAGGCCTTTACATTGCCCATCGACTCTAAAAAGCACACAGGGACTCGCACAAGATGCGTTGGACTCCATATAGCTAGATCAGCCCAACTATTCGACGAACGCACAAGTGCAAAAATCGTAGCAACAACGATGAGAAATCCCGCAGTCCCGTACGCTGCGTAGACTTCTCGCGTAGTAATTGGAGCATCTTTAAGATTATGTCGCTCACGAATCAAAGTCGCTGACAAGCCAAACGAGAACCTCATGTGGCGACACACGACGAGCAGCAGGTCCGCGACAGGTGGAGCTATGGTGACGATACACAATAGCCACGAGACCACGAATGTTGTCATGACTCCAGCACGTCGACTTGCCATTACTGGAGCTGTCCAAGGGTGCTTGGTCAACAAGCGTCGGACAGTATCGAAGAGCCACAGTGCAGCAGCAAAATAGGTGGCACAGACAACGTCTTCCAGAAATCCGAGGCTCAGCACCGAAACCCTGACGATCACGGTGTTGTCACTCGAGCTTCCGTACATACCGATCAGAGCTGTTAGTGCGAGACATCGGCTCATGGAGAAGAAGAAAAGGGCAAAAGTGTAGGCAGACAACCATCCGAGCCACGGCATGGAGTCAAGGTCGGACGATTGAAACGTCACGCGGGACCAGCCCCAGCGTGAGACCTTGGTATCCGATCACATTGTAGACAGTGAGATGTTCCGCACTGAGTTCGTGCGTGTCAGGGAAGCGTTGTCGGGTGAAGTGAGGACGCTCGGGACGGAGGCTCGTGTCCATCATGTGGGGGGCTTGATTGTGGGGAATGAAGGGCCTATTCACAACAAATGCAGTTCAATAGTGACGGCTCTTGTGAACTGACTTCGTTAAATGACGATCGCCGAGAATGGACAACTTCTTGTCGCGTGTGATGCGATACATCACATGTGCAGTTTCGCTAATAGCGAAACTGGTCCTATGCCCTACGCAATACGATCGCCATACCAGTATCCTCGGATTTGCTCCAGCTGCTGAAGTTCCTAACCACAAAGTAAAGGTAGCCGTGAATCCTCAACACAAACGACGTTCCCGGCACAGCTCTGGGCTCACAGACACGCCCTGACAGACTGTCAGGTTTGGGTCTGCTACCGGATCGCTACCCATCAGTTGAATCTATACTATCGGGCCGAACGCAAGACTCATCATGCACGTGTTATGTGGCTTGTCGAGGACAGCATGAGGGATTATTCATATTATCTGGGACTGCGAGGGCACGGCGAAGTGTTGGGCGTATATTGTGGCTCATTGGACCCGAATGGTTGTCCAGCCCGCGCAATTACTCGCGTACAAAGCAGCAGTGCTATCTCGAACAGTCCAGACCTACCTCCGGGCGTCAGAGCGGAGTTTGGCCGCCTGTTTCCGGACACGGTGGGGGAGATCAGCAGGTCTTGGGCACGAATCTGGTGGACAGCGTGCTCCATCTGCTTCGTCATCCTGTGGGCACACAGCGCGGGCCGCTGGGTGCTCAATCCGAGGAAACAACCGCTGACCAAGCGAATCCGAACTACGACAAACACTGCTTCGACAGCTACAAGCTGTTGCGGGCAGAAAGCACTGGTTTAACCGCGCAGGGACGACAGTGTTTTTTTCGGCTAGCGCCTGTCACTCTCTCTCTCTCATCACAAACGACGTGACGATGTGGAGAGGTGCGCGGTTTGGTCTCCTGGAATGATCGTCGTCTTTCTGAAAACGGTTTCGTGTTTACGAGCGCCCGCACCTGGCATTGACGATTTTGCTATAGGAGTATTGTCGATTGATCGAGCCGTCTCGTGCATACTGTCTTCAAAAGGGAATCAGGTTCAGGCCCGGCTCTTGTTCGGCTTATGCTACAAAGTCGTTTCTCTCGCACACGGCCTTTGCAAAAAACCAGCCAGTGCATCGCCACAACTGCATACTCGTGCAAACATCTTTCCTTAGTCGACTCGAAGTAGCAGCTTGAGCAGATAACCTACTAAAAAGGTTGCTCCAAGTTACTAAGCTGGATACAGACAGCATCACGCAATTGAGCCTTTGCAGGTGCTAGACTTGAGCTTCGTCTTCACGATGATGGCTGCTAAGTTGCTCACGCGATGCTCACAACACTAACACACTACATAAGCGCACATATCAACGTGACTTGTAATGGAGCAGTCTGTTCTTTGGAGCTGCTACGACTCCAAGATGTTCTCTCATTTATGGCGTTCGTCTATAACTAGATTCGTTTCGTTCATTAGCGCTCAAGTTTGCTGCGAGAGCCTTGTTACCTGTGGCAAATTCCATCACGTTCTTCTCTTGCCAACGCGAGTATCATCGTGCCTTTGTAGTAGACCCAGGACTGGCCATGCCGTCCAACTGGTCGTCCATTTTTGCTGATCTCTATCTTGTTTCACGTCGTGTCACTACGCGAAGGTAGATGACTAAATCTAACGTTGTGGCAGGAAAAACGCTGCAGGCGTTTCGCCAAACGCTCTCTTTCGTGGTATCGTTCGGGTCTCTGTCACGCGCAGGATGGGGCGGGCTCGGCTTATCCCGCGTCCCATCCCGCGCGGGACGGGATCATTCAACTTGCACCCAACAAAAAGTGCAAAGTCCTGACCTGCATACCTATGAGCGCCTCCATGCGCGATGAGGAAACTAATGAATGTAATTCATAGTGTAAAGACAAGCAAAGTAATGCATACCATGCTTGATGGTTCATACGAATTTAGAGGCCGGAATGCCCCATTCCACGAGATTCCAATCGGTGCCGCTGAGAGTAATCTTGCACGCAGGGCTTGTCTCGGGCGTGGTGGTACGGAGCTTGACCTCGCGCATCAACATCAATGCAGATTTTTACTGCGGGCAGCGACGTCTTGGAGCATGGTCGTGGCGGTAACTATGCAATTGCTCGCCAGTGACCCTGGCGCTTGGTGAAATAGTAAAATATCTTGACAAAGCTGCAACGCAACCGACGATCAATCCAGCTAAAAACGCAATAAGTTAATTCCAAAATCATACACATGGAATGACTTCCCAAAGATTATCACAATAACCAACGTATAGTGGCATGTACACTGTTGTAGTCGAATGCAACAAGTCTACGATCTTGCCTTTGCAGCTCTTGCCGTAGACACCTTTGATTTGAAAGGCCGCAACGAGTGGCTCTAGTTATTTTCCCTTTTGCCCCTTACAGCAGAAAACTATGAAGATCTCGAGGTCGAACAGAAAGCTACCGACGCCCGCGCACAGTAAAATGGCTTTTGCGATAGCCGTAAAGGGTCAGTAGAATGGGATAATTTACCCTGCATCAGAAGGGCTTAGATGCGCTGTGCGGAGTGAGGAGAACAACGCATCACTCGTCTAAGGAACCGTCGCTCAGACAAAGGTCAACAAAATACGTGGGCTGTCTCTACAGATTTTGAATGGAAAAAAGTAAACCATGCACACTGTAGACTATGTCTACAAGTGCAATCCATGCTGATGCGCCAAGGACAAAATGGCGTCGACCTTCGGCTCGACGAGCGCACATAATGGTTGCCATCGTGGGGCACATATTACCATTTCGCGTTTTAGGCGCATCCCGGACTTTAATCCCGAAAAAAAACCTTCGGGACGACATCCTTCATCAATAGAGAGGAAATGGATAAGATTTTATTCACATGTAGAAGCAGAAATAACGCCATGGATTGACCGCAATAGAGATACTGATCGAGAAGTTGCAACACTAATCATTTCTTCAACTGTCAAACTTGACGGACCCAACCGTTTCACAAACAGATACTTCTAGCCTGAGACAATGATGGATATGATACGGCTATCAAACAGCGTGCACGGTACAAAGCTTTCCGATTAGCTTGTATGCGAAATCTGAAGGTTGAGTGCATTTGATGCGCACGTCGTAGGCTACGACTATTTACGCATCAACTCCTTTACCCAGACTGGCGTTGATTTACCCTTCTTTTTTATATTCGGAGCGGCTAATGAACCTTGAGTTTTCGCTAACGAGTCTCCATACCTTATGATAAAGAAGTAATTGGATTTGGTTACCTCAAAGGGGTCAAAGGGAATTCCGTCTTTTATTCTACCCACCCTCTATTTGGCTAAATTGCTACACACCCGCCTACCTGAACTGCTTGTCGTGTACAGCTGCAAGAGGTAGTAGGAGAGCCATTCGAACTGTGTGCATCTATTTATGTGCGATAAAGAAGTTTCATTATGTGTTGATGACATCTAAGTATACTTCAGCTCAATGTTGTCAACGATTATCTACATCAACAGTTCGATATTTAAAGCAGCGTTAACCCCATCGTCTATAGGATCGAACAGCGTGATAGGATCGACCATCGCACTGATAAAGGTGTATAAGGAAAAGGGGTGTGAATTTAGCAATTCCCTAAAAATATTGCAGTTCAATTTTTTCGCACAGTATTGCCAAGTGGAATAAGGCGTTGCTGCACTCAAATGCTGTGACACCATAACCATTGCTTTGTACACCAGACCTCCACAGACAGGCAATTTCGTCGAATCACGGCGTTCGTTTCGAATCCGATACAAATTGACTGGTAAGAATATAAAAAACCACCGGGTGATAAATCATGATTCACGCAGCGCCTACGTCCCACGTTGTGTTTTCATAATATTCCGTTTAACACTCACGAAAAAGGCGATTATCGTTTGTACAACATGATCCACACTAGAAGGCAAACCCAGTTTTTCGAGTTCTCACCATAGTTCCAGTAGCTTAACATGTCGTTGGTAGAAATCGCTGCCGTTGACGTCGAGTCCTCGTGTTTGGTCTCTCTCTTTGTGCACTGCCACCGCATCATCTCCTCCTGCAATCCCTCTTTGCCCACCTCCCCAGTCTCTACCTCTCTTCATATCCAGATAGTCGATCCTCCAATGCTCTACGAAGCAAACGTCGCGCCCTGTCACAAGCCACAGGTTCTCGATTGCTCGGATGTTGAGTATGTAGCAGCGATCGAGTCGGCTCTACTTTCATCCCATTTTGACGCATCGATACGACGTTTAGACTTGCGCTGGTGCAAACGAAAACGAATCTTGACGCTCATGGAGCGGACAAGTGTCGCTATGAAATTCTGCACGATCGAGTTCCATGCGACATCAGAAAGTCCAGAAGCGTGGCGACACTTGCTGCATCAAGTGACAACGCGACAACGAGATATGGAAAAATCAATTGCTGACACGGAGAGCAGTGTGCAGCAGATGGAAGTACTGGTGAGACGAAAGGAGGCACTACTGGAAACGGCGCTGGTAGCGAAACAAAAGGTGGAAGATCAATTTGTGCAGAACTTCTGTGCACTTTTGAATGCTAAGAAAGATGAGATAAAGAGGCTGCAGCTAGAACTTTTAGCGGGGAAAGGCATGCACATCGAGAATACGAAGACATTAACGGGCAAGAGAAATTTGACTTTAGCGAGGAAAAAAGCGACAGGAGCGAAGTTGCAGAGAAAGAGAGAAGATGAAAAAGAAAAGGAACACAGCAGCGAGTCGAGCGAAGGCAAATTTACAGCTTTGGATGCTGGTGGTTACGAGAAGGAACAGGTGGGGAAAAACCGTTTGAAGGATAACGCGATTAAAGCGTATAGCGCTTTGCCGCCAATTTCGCGGTCGGGTTCGGTGGAGATGAAAGCCGGTGAAGAACTGTTATCGAGCATGGATGCCAACATTGATAGTGAAGAAGAGAAGAATGATGACGCTTTACAGGTACAAGAGTTTAGTGGCGACAATGCTATAATGCCGGATCTGGGGGCGACTCAAGTGCCATTACAAGTGATGAATCGAACGGAGAAACAAGCTGATGAAGCGATAGACTCATTGGACGAGGATATGTATGACATGCTGTGAAGCAAATAGTCAACACTCTGTGCTCCTTTTTTAGCTTTTGCCGTTGCAAATGACGTGTATTGGCGGTGGCGCGCAAAAACGATGCCGAAACGTAGCGGTTTTAACTTATGCCGAATATGGTATGCAGCACGCATTTAGTGTGGTGCTTTTACTAGATGTAGAAAAGCAAGCAAATTTCCGATTGAACCAAGAGCGCGTCCCTAGTGGTACGGTTTAGCTATTTGTTACGTGGTGTAAAATTATCTGATGCAAGACTGGACTCGGCGGGTGGAATACCATAGTTTGAAGGCAGTTAAACCGGTTGCGTAGGTCCTGCAGAAAGACAAGCCTAGTGGATGCGCGAGTCTTCTCTAGCCATTGCAAGGTGGCTCATGATCTTTTACACTAGTATCAACTAACAAGCTAGAGTACACTATATTAATCAAAAATCGAGCGTTAACCGGGTCATGTCTGAAATTTAGGTTGCCTCGAGTCATCTATTATGTGCGCTGGACAAAATAATGCTTTGGCTCTGAAGGATAACGCCATAGCTGCATTATGGGTCAGATCTCACCAGCAGATAGTGTGGTGGTCCTCTGATTGTTAAAATGATCTGTGTCATTGTACTGCCAAAACAATTCGCCGATCCGCATTAAAACAACAGATTTATACAGCAAGGATGGACTACAGTCGCTGCTTACTCACTCAAATATGCCTGAAGGCCTCATATGTGATCAAAATCTTGTGTTTATCTTAATGCACTTCGAAACACACAAAGGAATGACAGATTTGAGATTTACATTTCTTAACATGAGTTGAAGCAAAACATTGACGGCGCCTACGTGTTAGAATAGCATTTTAATATTGCAAGTCCATCGGTGCGTTGTTTACACTTCAAGTATTCAGATAGTATACACTTGACGATTTGATTCATTTTTCAGCTTAAGATTGCAAAGCTCATGTTAAGGGTCGAGGTTTACATGTCGTTTGAGGCCCGTGCGATCAATCCTATGCTATCAAATGCTCACTCTTTATTTTTTACAGATGAACCAAGGGACAGTTTTGAGAATGTCACTTACTAAAAAACTTTGTTACACCCATTCTATTCAGCTGCAACGTTAGTATGACCTGTGTCGACACGAAAGCTTGAGCGGTACAAAAGCGCATGGACTACAAAGGTGGTCCTCCAATCAGCACAACTACAGCGTATGCGGTTGTACACAAACTAAAAAGGTTGAGATTTCCATCCGGGAATTTTCATTTACCTCTATATATTATCTTGGATGCGAGCACTGAGACATCAGTTTAGTGCAGCGATTTCCCGATAATATCGCTATGTGAAGTGCCTTAACGATTATTTTGAGTACAATTAGTTCTTGCGTAAGATGTGCGTGCTTTTATTATAGTCAAGATCAAAGTTTACAAGTCTCCGCCCCTCTTGACAAACATCATTCATATGGTTATTCGTTTCAGAGAACCGTACATACACACTTACCATTCGATATGTACGCACCCAGTTAAACGACTGTTTGAACGAATATCGTCACACACACTTCACTCGATACGTACGAAACGGCATTTCACTTGTTTTAAAGTAGAACAGCACTGTGATATTGGCAATGAACTTAGTGTATCAGGCATGCTGTAATCTGCGCAATGCTGAGTATGACCCGGAGGCTTATTTTGAACACCGAATTTTGACCTGCTACGGTCTGGTGACCGTTTGACTTCCTGGTAGTTGATGATCTACCCTTACTTCAGCTGTAGCCAATCATGACAATGACTCTATCCGATGAATGAAAATGCATTGGACAGAGTGTAGTGGTAGGACCATCTTGTACTGACCTAAACCAGTTAGTTGTGCAGCCTACAGATAACTACAAACACGATATACCGAGGGTGTATAGTGATATACGAGGGCTTCAATTTCAATAAATATACATCAACTATCAGTCTAGTGGACGTTGAAGGTGGGGTCCATCCATTCATACGACCACGACTAAGTGATTACACAATCTGGACCGATGTCTGTCTTATAAAACCCGTCATTTTCAGTCAAAGCATGTTAAAAACACTTGGATCACGGCGGGTTGAGGCTGTACCTTTTGGTTGACAGGGGGTCTTTTTTTGTAAAAGGAGAGTTTGATTATCTTGTTAGATACCGATTTTCAGTCTTACAAGATGTTTTCTTTCTTTCGCAATTGTGCGAGCTAAATTACTTTGACGTGAAACATGTATTGACCGCACTCATCATCCATGCAAGGATGACACATCGGACAGTCGACGCCATCTGTCACCATCACCATAAAATAAACCCTGGATGGTCAATTGTAACACTACTTATCGGCTATACTGTATTCTCTTCAATTCTAGACGTCATATTCTCTCTGTAAGATTAAATACAGCACACCTCAGCAATTTACGGCAGACGTAGCAACTTGCACATTTCCGTCCAATTCGTTGCAGCTAGTACCTAAGTCAGCAAATTTTTTGTTATCATCTCCGAGCGAACGTTTTTCGATTCATAATTTCGCGGCGTGCGTTTTTACTCAGAAACTTTGCCTGCACGTCTCACCACTTTTCTTTTGTAGACGACTTCTCTTCTCATGAACGTTCTGCACAGCCGCTTAATTATTATATAGTGCACTAGCATCGATAATCCAATCAGTACACTGATCTCATTACGTACCTCACGAATTTTTGGCATCTCGCGAGTGACTTCTGATGCAGCCATGATCTCTGCTGTTATTGTCGATAACAAAACTCTACTCTGATTCTTTCAAATCGATCTCACAATCATCCCTTATTTAATAATACTAAATTCGCTAAGTGACTTTCGATCAAGGTTTTTCGCTGCTTAATTAAATTTAATCTATTTCCCTTGTTCTCACCGACAGCTTTAAAGTCTTCCTCCTATAACATAGCTATCCATTCTTTTCGACATCTTCCAAATCGTACATACGCAGCTTGTGTGTCTGACGGGCGGCCTAGGGTACAGTAAACGAGGTGTAGGGTCGTGTGCACCGGGCAAACCAAAAGCGGAAAACTGACGAGTTGACAAGATTCCTTATAAACTATTTGCATTCTTCTACAAATTGCAAGATTGATTTTGCTCCCTACAAGCAGCTCGTATCAATTGTTCATTAATCTTACTCGCTTCGTATTCGTGTGCAGTATTCCGTGATCACGTAGTCAACCGCTCATTGCTTCTTCCTAGTCCAATTTGTAGTCTATGTCTTCATCATTTTCGATTTTATACCTATAAATTTGCCGCCATGCCCAAGATTCTTGAGTGATTAACATATATATACTCACGAAGAACTTTTCCACCGCTTAAGAGCCATTTCCAGTTTTAGAAGGTGCATAATGCATACCATGCCACTAACATTGCGCTTTTAATTCAAGTACACATACACAACTATTCAAACGAAACCGGCATACATTCGGCTTAAGAGTAATCGTTGGATCCAAATTCTTCTCGACAGTTTCAATACGTACAATCTTTTTTCAGCGAAAGAACAAGAGTTTTGTGCCCATTACACCTATCGACTGTTACTTTCCTTTACTCATCTGTACATCGACCGGAAAGCTTCAGAGTTTGTCCAACTGCTCTTCTTTTCCAGCCTCCACAACAGCGCTCAGAATATCACCATGCTCGGCGGGGACGCTCACGCAACATAGCCGACTCTACTCACGTAGTACTCATGAAATAAATGTGGCAAGTGGCATTAAGAAGTCGACGCTATATACCTGTTCATTTGCTTAAGTGACAAAGAAGCTTTTATCTGTAAATGTTCCCAGTTCTGTCCGTTTTTGTCATTGACACTTGCTATAAATTATCTCGCATTTCATGGACCAAGAGGTTATAAGCAGACAACGTAGATTTAAAAGCCGTCAAGTATGTATTAATCGCGTCAACACAACTGTTGCGCCTTGGTCTTTTCATGGCTATGTTACAGCTCGTTGGGTCTGGTTTGTAGACGTAATTAACCACATTATGCATCGGCCCATGTGTTCGTACATTTCGTGAACCTGTTTCGTCACAGATCGTGGTAGCGCGTTGTGATTAAACAGCCCCACTTGTGCACGATGCTGCATCGTATTTCTGCGGGTCGCGATACACATTGCACTGCCACCAGGACGCCACAAATACACCTGATTCCGGCCTTCGACCTGCCAAGACTTCAATCGGTAGAAATTGATATAAATGGGACTCGATTAAGGATATACGTTAAACTATCACATCATCTTTTCATGAATAAAGTGGTTGGTTCATAGAAAAAAACAAATACCGGATTATATTCAGCACGGTACGATGCATTCTCTTAGTCTTGCTATCAAACGCTTTTGCGCACCTAGCTGAATTGGCGTGTCACGCCGACGCTCTGAAAAGGAATTCACAGTCATGTTTGTACCGCCGCCGTATGTGTGCAATACGCGTGCACAGAAACCTTGTCACTTCCCAAATCGATAAGTCTTCTATTCTTCACTGTTTTTTCTTTTGGCTTTGCAATATAAAATCGGCAGTAATTAGACGTGTGGATCGATACTGATGACAAGCTGCCGGTCGCATAGACGGTATTGTAATTCAATTGAACCTTTTGATTTTCATAATATGACACCGCCAACTCAACCCACTGGCTTGTTTGACCAGATTCCTACTTGTACTATACATTCTCGATCTGCTTGTATTAAATATACTTCACACAACCGGACTTACATCTTTCGTCAAATTAATATCTGACGCTGAATACTGCGCTACGAGATCCATTGCACCCTGATACAAGTGAGCAAAGTGCATACAAAATTGCTTTAATAAGCCGACGTGTGCGTCAGCTCAAGTTGACAACCACTATTAATATGGGCGCTGAACACAGACATGTTAACAAGTTGACTTGATACCGCATACACCAAAATCAGCTTTCCATCCAATTTCACATTGAAAAACACTTCGTAAGTTGCGCGCAACGAAATTACAAGCCGTTCCTATTTGTGCATGAGCGCTTATCCATTCTTCTATA